TGTGCCATGACTGAAATAAACAGAGTCTCCCCATTGTTGTTTCCAAAACTGTATGTCTTCTTTTTCAGAATGAGTCTCTTGCAGGAAAATACAGTTCACCTTCTGCTCCTTACAGAAAAGAAAAGTTGCCTTACGTTTAGTGATATCTTTTAGTCCCCTTGCATTTAACGATAATAACGATAACATAGATGAGCAGTCAGTCAATTGTGTTTAAGTGCGCAAAAAACCAAAACAGGGAAGATGCGCAGGAGTGAGTAACTATACTTGCCACATCTTGTGTGTAGTACAAATAGCCCTATATGAACCGGTGTGAAAACAAACCTTCTAGGAATCAATGAGGAGTTGGGAAAGAATAAACAAGAAATGTTGACAAAAAAATGACCAGAAGTTTTGCAAGATTGTTTTGCGAATTGATTGTAATTCAATTCTCAAACCCGTCATATCATTTGTGTCAGAAAGTCTTTTATACTGGCCTACGTCATGCATATTTGAGGCAGCACTGCGGGGGCCTGGTTAGTACTGTGATGGGAGACCTCTGGGAACACCAGGTGCCACAGTGGGGCGGCTGCGGCTGTAAAGTGCCAAACTGTGGTTGTGTCCTCAGGCAATGCACTTCACCCACATTGCCTAGAATGCGTCTGGTGTGTGTGTGAATGGTTTGTGGTGATTGGTGGGTCCGATGGGACATACTGGTTGCCTCGCTTCTGTCACTGTGTCCCAGGGCAACTGTGGCTGCAGTAGTGTGCTTTAGCAGTTATGTTGTCATCTCTGTGTTCCAGGAGTAAGGAGCAGGCCTCTTCAGCAGCTACCTTCATCACCCAGGGGCCTGAGCGCCTTCTGCCCCATGTGCCCGCGGAGTGACCTCGCTGTGGCCTCTAGAGCTCACTGTCTCCAGCCTTTAACAAATAAAATACAGTGAAATGACAAAAGAAATATCCCATATTTTATGGAATGAATGGACATTTCAAACAGCTGTCTTTCATAATCTGGAGCTCATATACAGATACAGATATTTACAATTATGCAATATTATGTACTTTGTATTTGTACTTGAAATGAGTTTATTTTACAGCCGCAGGGGTTGTAGCTATAGTTACTGTTAAAGCTGGAATATCTGACTTTGAAACCACAACATATTAACATTGTAAAATCCTACTAACTTGTTCCTGGCTCTCAAAACTCATACATCATCTTTAGATCAGGTTTTTCAGACAGAAGAGTGAAAAAGAGAGGACCACCGTCACTCAGCCAATCAGCTCTCAGTACAGTTTATGAGAAGATAAAAACATCATGTTGTGGTCTGATTTGTTCACAAGATGTTACTTAAGACTAGACTTTTCCTGTTGGAGCAAACAACATGTATTCATAAAACTAAAACAATTAGATATTTCAGCTTTAAATCAATATGCATCTTGTTTTTGGACTTTTGCAGCATCGTCAACTTTTCATTCTGAATTTTGATCTGTGAACTGAATTCCCAAAGGAGACATGAGCAATAGCATTTTAACTGCAATAATATTAAAGCAGTATTTACACGGCAGACTAGTTTTATAGTGACTTGTAACATGTTGGATTTCCCTTTTTTCTTGGGCATGAACAGGAAAAGGCGACCTACATGAACGTTGTACTGTTGTGTTTGAAGGTTTACTCACTCATCCAGAGATTGTTTTGGAGATTATGAATGAAAACATAAAACCTATTCTTCCACTTATTGTTTTTCAAATTATAATATAATTAAGGTCCTCTTGGGGATCTCAAATGTGCAGTTCATGCAAGTCAGCCCAGGAATGAACAAGAACTGGAGGCTTTTTGCCAAGAAGAATGTGCATTACCATCAGAGAGGATAGAGAAGAGTGCAGATGTCCGCTGCATCCAGATAGTGACAAGAATCACCTCCATTAACTCAGTTGTTCACATTGTGAACACTAAGCACTTTCTGGAAATTTTGTCCAAATCCACCCATTACACTCACAGCCAAACAGATGAACAGAGAAACTCCTGGAGGGAGATAAGTCTCCAAGCACCTCTAACAAGTGGCACACATGGAAGCACTGTATTTCACAATCTCAATGATAATGTAATTTGGCCCAAACATCTACACATCTGCCTCGGTGTGTAAACTTTTGAGCAAAATGTATGCCAGTGAGGTATTTATGTACGCTTAATTACTAGGATGAAGATGGGCATAAGGGATGCAGTGCATCAGCGCTGTTGAAGAAGGGAAAACAAGGTCACATGATACAAAAACAAAGCTAAAGTGGCGGCATATATTTACCCTTTTGAAAGCACAACATGTGCTTATGTGAGGCTAAATAAACATTCTGTTATGATGGCACTGAGAAAATGCACTTGTTGGGGTTTCAATGTTTGAAACGGTGAGCGTACATTTGGACACAATGAGACCTTTCGGTGAGGATGAAAAAAAGAAAGTCAATGTTTATTGCTGGAAGGTTTAGAGAAACAGTTATAGTCTGCCTAGAAGTCAGCCATGTGAACAGCAAACAGTGCATTTCTCAATGCCACAGACAAACAAACCAGGTCAGGGATGGCGCTCTTCGTACACAAACCTGAGGAATCCCTAAGGAAAGTTAATTAAGAGTTTCCCTTCACCATTACCAACTGGAAACTTCTATGTTGGAACAGGTATTTGCACTATCTATTCCTGGGGCAGTGGAGGGAAACACATTTTGGGATGGGGCAAACAAATTTGCACTTCTAAGAAAAATATCTGCAAAGCCCCTTCTGACTATGGAGTTCCCTTTTTGTACGAGGCGCTGACAGTGGGAAGTGAATGTTCTCTTCACCAAAACACAGGAGAGCGACCTCACCTGGCCCACGTCCACATCATGCCTGTGACTGCCGCTCCATGTGTGGTCACTGTAGCTGTTTCCATAAGGATTCCCGCTGACCGTTTTGATTCTCCAGAGTCACATCATATGTTTCTGGGCCAAGAAAGTTCTTCAGAGCAACACTTCACCTTGGGCTGTGGGAAGAGAAGTCCACATTGTAAGTAGCAGTTTAGAGGGGCAGTTAGAGGCCCCTTCTCTCATCATGGTGTTTAGACAGAGGCATAGATCCACACATACTGTGACATGGCCCATGAAGGTTGGTCTCACAAAGATGACGCTCTCACAACGTCTGACCTTCACATCTAGACCAAGGGGATTGTAGCTCTGAACATTTTGCCACTTATTGCTGTTAAAGCTGGGGTACCTAACTTGATGTTTCTCATAGACTATACATGTAGGTTTTTTTTTTTTTTTTTTTACTTTTACAGAAAGAGTTGTTTAAAAAGTAACATTTTGTAAAGAAATCTGACCACAACATTTTGGTCCGAGTTTAAAAAAAAAAGGTTCAAAATATTACATTTATTATTGTATAGCCCTAAATCACACCGGTAGTTTTTATAAAGCCGTTGATTTTCCAACACCGGTCAGAGAATCAAACCGTTCAAACACAGGAAATGCAATGATACAGAGATTTGTACAAAAAGGGGCAGATGACCAAAGTCTATAAATGTTGTTCAATGTCGAGTGTCGAGCTTGTTTTAATTGTGTGATAAAAATAAATGTAATCTCGATCATCTACCAGCTCTGAATCTAGTCTTGTCCTAGAGTGGATGAGATGTAGTTAAAGTTCAAGTTCAATTTTCCATGTGCACAAACGGACAGACTGTTTCTAGAATTTATAGGAACCCACTTCACTACAAGCATCTGTGGAACAATGCTGCCACCTGCTGAACACAACAAGAGGTATTTAAAGCTGGGGTGCCCTCACTTCTTTGTACACGTCCCAACGAAAACAAATCAGACCATAAAGTTCCTATCTTCATCTGATTAGAAATTGTATCTTTTGTGGAAGAAAGAGCACTGTAAGTCACTATTTGACTCTTTGGCTGAGAGTTTAATGGTCCTCTCTTTTTCACTTTTCTGTATGAAAAAGCTGATCCAAAAATGGGATAGAGGCCGAAAATACATCCACATGACAAGTAGTGATAGAAGCATTTTTTTTTTTTTAGATGGATTCATTACATATTTCATTAGAGATATTTCAATTTTCATTAGAGATATTTCAATGTAGCAGCCTGTGAGTCCAAGACAAATTTCCTACGGGACATAATAAATTAATCTTGAATCTTGAATATGAAAGTGAGGCACCCCAGCCAAACTTTTACAAAAGTAAGGGAATGATCGCAATACTTTTACCAGAGTATTTCTTTATGTACTTAAGTACCTGAATCGGGTGCTTTAGCCCCATCTGCCACAACAGACACAAACTTGTTTTAAAAGACATTTCTTCAGGACAGACCTTTGCAGATTTGCACTATTTTCCCAAATCTGGGGTTTTAGTTGCCATCCCGACCCTTTGTATTGCTACACAAACTCAAAAGCAAAGTGGGTGTTTTAGATTAACTAATTTTGGCCCCAGGGGAACTATGACTATACAGCCTATGGACTATATAGGATACTGTAAACTGCAATAGCCCCTTCAATTTAAAAATTCAATTCCAAGGGCTGCCTTAAAATGTTGATTCCAAACAATTAGAATTGTATAGTGTAATCAAGTTATTTGCCTGTGTTTATTAAACTTATGTAATTAATTCATAGTACTTGATAATATGAATCAATTCAATGGCTTTATTTCAGTTGAGTAGAATAAGGGAACGTTGTTAACTGAGCAAGCTTGAGAAAGTTGAGTCAACGACTTTCCCTTATTCTACTCAACTGAAATAAAGCAATTGAATTGATTCGTATTATCAAGTACTACAAATTAATTACATAAGTGGAATAAACACAGGCAAATAACTTGATTACACTATACAATTCTAATTGTTTGGAATCAACATTTTAAGGCAGCCCTTGGAATTGAATGTTTAAGTTAAAAGAAATGGTTATTTTTAATAGTTTTACCTACTGGTTTGTTACTTTACACAATCCATTTTACCCTATTAACAATTTACAAGACATTTAGCTGGAAAGACCATTTTTATTGCCACAGACTTAATCAAACTGAAAGCGATCCAGCAGCGGAGCATTCTGGGACGGCATTGCCACGGCAACGCAGCGCAAGCACCAGGCAGCTGCCAATCGCACAGCGGGAGAGGGATGGACCAGGACCGAGACCACAGAGTCGACCAGAGCTGAGAGAGGAGAGAGGTGTGATCATGTGACATCACAACTGTTTGTACTGTCTGTTTATGGGCAATACTTGTATTTTAAGGCAAGACCAGGCAAGCTTGTTTGCATTGAACTGTTCACACACAAACCAACTCAAAGCTGGACATAATATTTTGGGTCTTGCTGCTGTGAGGTGTTGTACCTGTGGACTGGTCCGTCAGCAGGGGCCCCGCGGTGGACCCTAACCCCAGGAGAAGAGACCCAAGCTCCAGCAGCAAACAGACCAGAGCGTGCTGAGAGGAGCACAGGTCTGAGGCAGCTTTAGACTCTGCTGCAGCGTCACACACACTGAAGACTCTGGAACAACATACACCTCATAATCAAACTCACAATCAAATATCAAAATAACACAAAATGATCATCACATAAGGGACAAAGATTGTTTTATAATACTTTCAATAGAAAAAAAAGTATTTAGTCAGCCACCAATTGTGCGTAATCCCACTTAAAAAGATGAGAGAAGCCTGTTATTTTCATCATCGGTATACCTGAACTACGAGAGACAGAAGAAGAGAAAAAAAACTGAAAATTAATTTTTTTTGCAAATTATAGTGGAAAATAAGTATTTGGTCAATAAAAAAAAATAATCTCAATACTTTGTTATAAACCCTTTGTTGGTAATGACAACAAAGGGTGAAACCTAGTCTTCACAAGGTTTTCACACACTGTTGCTGGTATTTTGGCCCATTCCCCCATGCAGATCTCTCTAGAACAGTGATGTATTGGGGCTGTTGCAGGGTAACACGGACTTTCAACTCCCTCCAAAGATTTGATATGAGATCTGGAGACTGGCTAGGCCTCTCCAGGACCTTGAAATGCTTCTAACAAAGCCACTCCTTCGTTGCCCGGGCGGTGTGTATGGGATCATTATCATTTGGAATCATTTATCTTTTAAGTTTTCAAAATATCTTGGGCTCTTAATGTGTTTAATGTTTATGTAGAGTCTAATGTTTGATGATTTTTTGCATGATGTAATATAGGTTGAGGCGCTTTGCGTTGCCTTGCTCTACAAATAAACGTTGATTGATTGATTGGTTGTCATGCTGAAAGACCCAGCCACGTTTCATCTTCAATGCCCTTGTTTATATATGATACATGGCCCCATTTGTGCTTGTTTGTAGGTGACCAAATGCTTTTCTACCATAATTTGCAAATAAATTATTTAAAAGTAATCATTTGATTTTCTGGATTTTGTTGAGATTAGTTGAGATTTACCCATTGTGGAAATTACAGGCCTGTCTCATCATTTATAGGTCGGACAACTTGCACAATTGGTGGCTAAATAAATACTAATTTTTTTTGCCCCATCCCATCTATATCAAAACAAGAATGAAGGGTAAATCATGTTCTCCACCTGTAACTCCCTGTGAGAAATACCAGAGAGAGAGACCAGAGAGAGAGACCAGAGAGAGAGATCAGAGAGAGAGACCAGAGAGAGAGAGGCCAGAGAGAGACATGGAACATGCTCTTGATACTTCTCACCTATGATCTTCCTGTGAGCTCCCACAGTGACACACAACTGCTGGACTGCACTGCTCTGGGCTTTCTCCCCCAGGACCCCCCCCAGACTGGCCCTAAGCACCATGGACACACACCCCCGTGTCAGCACCGCCTCCGCAGGGGTCTGGGAGCTCCGAGAGTGAGACACCAGCTCCAGGAGGAGAGCCAAGAACTGAGAGAAGGTCTGCTCCAGCCACGAGGAGCCCAGAGAGAAGACCAGGACTGTGCACGTCTGGAACAATAGGAGGATTAGTGCTGCTTTAGACAGCAGGAGTCTAGAGCTACATTCGCTCATAGCAACCTCAAAGCAACCAAACAGCCAATTAGAGGCAAGTAACTACTACTATAATAGTCAGGTTGACCAGCATCATGTTGAACTTTAAAACTCAAATGAGCAGGAAGTGTGTGTTTAGTGCGAGTGTGGAGGTGTGTGTTAAGTGTGAGTGAGTGTAGTCACCAGGGCGATGCCGTGCCGCACGTCTCTGCTCACGTCTCTGGTTCCTTTGATCATGTCTCCTGAGGCTCTGAGGAAGCCGCCTCCTCCTCTGGTGAAGCCTCCCAGCAGCAGCTCCATCACCTCCACCAGAGCAGCTCCAGAAGCAGTTCTCTGGGCTGAGGACCAGGAACCATGAAATTCCATTAGGTTTGCAAAATCTTGGTGTATCGCACAATGTTAAAAATACTATTGAATTGTGGCCAAACTATTGCATTACTATCGAAACATATTTTTGCCACTTCCCACTCCTATTGGGAACTTATCAGCTGAAACTCTAGCAATGGTAGTGATTATCAAGCAGCTTCAGCGACAGACTGATCTACCGTGGCCATGTGAGCTGTCAGAATGTACTATGAAGACTTCTGTGCAATATGTGTCCACGGTCTCATGCTACATGTACAGCAGCAGCAGCAGTAGTAACAGCAGTTATGGCAGTAGCAGTAGTAAACCTAGTCTTGTACCTGTCTTGTTCCTGGACTCTACAGCGGCCTTCAGCAGAGAACCCAACAGCTCAGAGACTTGCACAGACAAGGAAGATCCTTCAAACGCTCGAAAACAAACTGTGGACATGTTCTCCAGCTTTGAGGACAGGAACAACGCCTCCTTCTAGAGCTCCAGCAGACACTGCAGAGGAGGCGTGAGAATGTAGACAAACACATGTACCAAACATCACTAGGGTTAACTGTTATAAAGGTATATCACATTATATTGTAACTGTATTTCACTGGATTTTTCAGTAACGTGTCTGTCATAACACAAATATCAAATAACAGGATATTGACAAATGTCCATAAGAGAAAAAAAACATTCTCCCTGGAGTTATTGAGTAATTACCTCCATCCACTTCACCCCTCCCTTAGTGTTTAAATACTTAGTTTTCAAATTTGTTGTGTCAATGCAACTTTTCAGCCCTGAGCAGTTTTTGAAAAGGAATTATGGGGGAGTCAAGAGAGAGAGGCAAGAGAGAGACCAGAGTGAGACCCTAGACATCCTTTAAGGGCCTAAACAAACATCAAGACAGAATCACATCTGCTCTGAACACAGAAGCACAGCTACCTTTGCTGCCGCACAGCGCACGGCCATAGAGCGATCGCTGAGGCAGGAGCGTGCAGATTTGTAGACATCTCTGTGAACAGGAGCTGCTGAAGGCCCCAAACCACGAAGTATCTTCTCCAGAGAGGCCAAGATCTCCCCACTGTGAGACTCTATGGTTTCTCTCTGGTCACAATCCCTCTGGTATCTGCTCTGGTTTCACTTTGCTTCAGACAATAGTATTCTATGTACATGCATTTCAGGCTTCTTTCAGATCTTTAGCTCAGCTTTTTCAGACTGAAAAGTGAATTTAAAAAAAAGAGGACCACCCTCAATTAGCCAGTTGTGAGTCAGGGCACTTTGATGATTTTTTGATAAGATTTTGAGCTTCTCTATAAGAATTGCATGATGATTATACGGACATTTTATGTGTTGATAATTTGAGTACAGCTGCATTCACTTAGCCAAGTCTTACCATATAAGGCTGATTTAATTTTGTACCAAGCCACATGTAGGGAAATAATTGCCCGGAATTTAAGGCCAGGCTTATTCAGACTGAACACAATGTAATTTTAACTAATGAACAGTAGTGGGATTTTTATTTACATGATTTTAAAGTTGGGGTGCATGACTTTTTCCAAACAAACAATGGACCCACGTAATATTGTCCTTGTAAACATACACTCAATTTCATAACTGTTGCTTCTATCATTGGTTTTCAAATTTGAAGACTGATGGTTTTTCTCATTAACCAAACTGTTGGCACTGCCTCCTGGACACCAAGGGGAAAACAGGTCTGCAACTGAAAACAAACACAAACCAATGTCCATGTGATCACTGAAACTCAATAGCTGCTTTTAGTTTGAAAGAAAATCAACTTTTATTAAGGGAACATTAAAAAGCAGTATATTTAACATTTGACGTTCAAAAACTGACAAAAAATGAGCTCCGTCCTCACAGGCGACAGTGATCAGAACATAACCCCAGAAGTCGCGTCGATGTTGAGAGTAATGCAGGTTTTCTGCAAACGTGACCAAAACAAGAATTTAGGATCGCTACAAAATAAAACATCTCACTCAGAGGCAAGAAAGAACCACTAAGACAATATTCAGTTTAACAAACGAGTATTCATCAAAAATCAAATAAATCAAATCCAACGACTTTAACAAAGTCAAAGAATGGAACAAGTGATCAAAACAATCCAGGAACAGACAACAGAACAAAAAGTCCAGAACTCAAACCTCCTCGCACCAGCTCCTCCTCCTTTCTCTCTTCTCCTCCTCCCTCTTCAGGCCAGCTCCTCCTCCCCCTCCTCATCAAACTCTCCCTCCTCCTCAGCAGTAGCGTCCTGGTACTGCTGGTACTCGGACACCAGGTCGTTCATGTTGCTCTCCGCTTCGGTGAATTCCATCTCGTCCATCCCTTCCCCCGTGTACCAGTGGAGGAAAGCTTTTCTGCGGAACATGGCGGTGAACTGTTCTGAGATGCGTTTGAACAGTTCCTGGATGGCCGTGTTGTTTCCGATGAAGGTGGCCGACATCTTCAGACCTCGAGGAGGAATGTCGCACACCGCCGTCTTCACGTTGTTGGGGATCCACTCCACAAAGTAGCTGCTGTTTTTGTTCTGAATGTTCAGCATCTGTTCGTCCACCTCCTTCATGGACATGCGCCCTCTGAAGATGGCCGCCGCCGTCAAGTAGCGCCCGTGACGCGGGTCGCACGCCGCCATCATGTTCTTGGAGTCGAACATCTGCTGCGTCAGCTCGGGGACCGTCAGGGCCCTGTACTGCTGGCTCCCCCTGCTGGTCAGAGGAGCGAAGCCGGGCATGAAGAAGTGAAGGCGCGGGAAGGGCACCATGTTCACCGCTAACTTGCGCAGGTCCGCGTTCAGCTGGCCAGGGAAGCGCAGGCAGGTGGTCACTCCGCTCATGGTGGCAGACACCAGGTGGTTCAGGTCGCCGTACGTGGGCGTGGTCAGCTTCAGCGTCCGGAAGCAGATGTCGTACAGAGCCTCGTTGTCGATGCAGTAGGTCTCGTCTGTGTTCTCCACCAGCTGGTGCACCGACAGAGTGGCGTTGTACGGCTCCACCACCGTGTCCGACACTTTGGGAGAAGGCACCACGCTGAACGTGTTCATGATGCGGTCAGGGTATTCTTCGCGGATCTTGCTGATGAGCAGAGTGCCCATACCCGAGCCTGTGCCTCCGCCCAGGGAGTGAGTGAGCTGGAAACCCTGCAGACAGTCGCAGCTCTCCGCCTCCTTACGGACCACGTCCAGAACCGAATCCACCAGCTCCGCTCCCTCCGTGTAGTGGCCCTTGGCCCAGTTGTTTCCCGCTCCACTTTGACCTGGAATTATACCCACTGCTTTACAGCTGCACGCGCCACATTGGACCATTCAAATGCTTCACACCTCTCTTACCAAACACAAAGTTGTCAGGCCTGAACACTTGGCCAAACGGCCCAGACCTCACAGAGTCCATAGTCCCAGGCTCCAGATCCACCAGTATAGCACGAGGTACATATTTGCCCCCTGTGGACACATCAGGCATTACATCACAGCGCTTCAAATGCAGGATGGGACTCTACATTCTTGGCATTTCGCCCCACCTGGGGCTGTTTACCTTATCTAAACAGTTCCTAATTCCATGTCCCTGTAGGGAAATATGCGTCTGCATTTGACCCTGAATACCACTAGTATCTGTCAGGAGCAGTGGGTACCACAGTGACGAAATGCCTACATTTTAGTGAGTCCTAATATATTATACTAATTTGGTTCAGACTTTACCAGTGGCTTCGTTGTAGTAGACGTTGATCCTGTCCAGCTGCAGGTCACTGTCGCCATTGTAAGACCCAGTGGCATCAATGCCGTGCTCGTCACTGATCACCTCCCAGAACTAAAAAACAAACAAACAAAATAATAAATATCTGTTCAAACTGCGCACGCGCTTTTACTTTGACAGCAGGAGCGCGCGGCCGCTTTGGCGCTCAAACCCGAGCAGTAGAAAAACCTCGACGTTTATTACAGTAAAATAACCCAGAAAACTGTTTTAAACCATCGCTAAATATGTAATCCGATTATCACACAGTCCATAAGGTTCAGATGGTGACGATATATGACGGTATTTGAGGAAACGTTAACAGAAGCAAAGGGGCGCGTGACATCCGTTATTCAAAAACTTGATATTATAAAACAGCTAAAAACCTACAGAAAAGGACATTTTCCGACACCATTCAAGCTCATTAACTTTGTATTTGCTTCAGAAAATAGTCTGGATAAGACGTCATGGCACAAAAGGGCCACAGAAACAAATTCAAAGTTTAAATTAAAAAATAAATAAAAATACAATGAATGAATAGTCACCGACCTTGGCACCAATCTGGTTGCCACACTGGCCCGCCTGGATATGGACGATTTCCCTCATTTTGTTTGGAGATAAGAAGAATCCGGAGTGAAGAACTTTATTCGTTTACAACGGTGTCGGCGCACTCGCGGATGTCGTGGCCGGAAATTTATATGGCACTGAGCTCCGGACCCCACGTGACCAACGATGTTAGCGTCACCATGACGGCAGGAATAAACAGCGGCGCCAAGCTAAAAACAATGAATGACAGCGGTGGAAAATTGTTACTTTCGGAGTTCACAGTGTCATTTAATGACATTGATAAGGCACGGTATATTGCCAAACTCAACCGGTTGAATATTAGCGACCCTTACTTTGCTCCTGGCTTGTTTTTTAAAGGCCTAGATTTTGTTGAGAGTCCACCAAATCTGCAATACCCAGATATTTACAATTACTTAATTGATTTCCCATCCTTTTACACGGGGGATTCGCTGAAGGCTTTCAAAAGTCTGGACGGATATAAATGGACACAATCCGGGTTTGTGTCCAATGTCCAGCTATGGCATTTGCCAACAAAAAGCTGTTTTGTGGTGACTGGAAGAGTAAGTACACACAGTGCGATCTGTCATCGCTTGCATGCTAAACACCCGTTTCTGCGCTAAGCTAATATAAAGTCAACTGCTTTAACAGCTACTGTTAATGTTGTCACAGGTAAATCATTCACAAAGACTCAACAGCCCTTCACTGAAGCCATGGGCAGTTGTCAGATGTGACGGTGCAGTGCTAGGAGCCCACTGTAATTGTACAGCGGGACTTGGAGAGTGTTGTTCCCATGTAGCGGCTGTGTTGTTTACCTTGTGGCAGCACAATCAAGAAAGGGGAAAGGAAGAATCCTCCGTAACATCAAAAAAGTGCAGATGGGACAGACCGAGTGAGACTGCTATGAAAAAGGTGGAGTACCTACAGGGAAAGGATATTGTGTTCAACAAATCCCAAAAGTTGAAAAAACAGAGTTTGTCTGAGTCGACGACTTCTGCAGCCAGTGCGTGTCCACTGCTGACACCTAGTGAACAAAGCCAGCTCTACAACAACATCGCCAATTGTTCAAAAGAGGTGCGAAAAATAAAGCCAGTGGTCCTGTCTCTTGTTAGGGAGCACGCTGCATCTTATGTACCCAAAGCAGTCGTTTTAAAT